TTGAAGTCACCCCCAAAGAAGGCACCTCTCTGGGCAAGGCAGCGTCCTTTCAATCCACTAGGGAAGGGAAAGTGAGGGTCCCTGTCTTGGATCAGGCCGGAAGCAAGCTGCTCCCCTGAGAGCTCCTGGTGTATAACAGAGGGACCAAGAGAACTGTTCCCTCCCCGACACGAACCCAGAAGTAGGGGAACAGCTGCCCAGGCAGGCAGCAGGAGGCTGGAGGAGGGGGAGGCAGAGTCCATGTGCGGGGCTCTGGCTACGTACCCGCAGCCACCTCCAGGCAAACACGTGGGCCCCTGTCCTGAGGTGGGCCTCCAGGCTGCGCCTTCCCGGTCCCAAGTAGATTCCTCCTGCCTCACCTCTCTACCTTGTCCCCAAGCATTCTGCAAGCCATTGTCTCATGATGAATAGCACTTTAATGTGAGTATTAAAAGTACAGGCAAATGTTTAATGTTTGCAAGCTGTGTTCCATTATTGATGCTGTGCTGGAGAGCCAGGCAGGCAGCTCAGGCAGGGCTGGGACTCAACAGAGAGGCGATGGTTCAGCAGCCCTGCGAGGCGACCATCTGCCAGGCCACCACGGGGCGTGGACGGGCACCAAGGAGGCAGAAGAGGAACAGGAGCTCAGGTTCTGGAAGTGGACTTTTCTGGGTCCGGATCCTCCGCTCCTTGTCCCCTGATCAGCTGTGTGCCTGGCAGCGTGGTGCTCTCCGTGTGGAGTGACGGGTGTACCCCCCTGCCCGGTGTGTGAGGACTCCTCGAGATGACACACGAGGACCCTAGGGCTGGGCCTCTGGAATCGGAGGCCACCTTTGCAGGCCATGTCATGGGGTCGAGGTTGAAGTGAAAAGTGGGTGCCCACCCAACCTTCTTACTTAGGAAGAGGAATCAGCATCCTCTTCCTGTTCAGCTATTCAGAACTCTCCAGGGTATGGCCCAGCTGACCTCCCCAGATTCACCTTCCCCTCCCCCAAAGATGCCCAGGACCCATTGAGCCTGCGGCGACTGGAGCTGCTGTTCTTTCACATCACCCCTTGCCCGTCCCACTGGGGCTCCTGTAACACCCTCAGCACGGTGCCTGGCGTGCGGTTAAGAGCTTCCAGTGAGCTAGCTAATATTTCTTTGTTCCTGCCTTCTGGAGGCATCGTGTCCCAGCAGTCTTGGAATTGTTTTTCTTCTCCCCGATTTGGGGTGACCTTGGGATGGGATGGCAAAGGCTGGATAAGACAAGACAGCCCCTGCCTTTGCATACCTCCCTCTCTCCTGCCCCAGCCACAGTGGTAGGGGGCAGAACAGCCCTTCCTGGGGCAGAGGAGACAACCCCGCTGAAGCAAACATCCAGAGGCTTGAGGCTGGATGGGGTGTGTGCCCCCCACCGCTGCACCTCTCTGGGGTACGTCTTCCCAGCTTCCCTCCCTTCGCCTCTTGTGGTGATTTCATGAGTGAAGCTTGGGGGAGGTTCCTTGGTGCTACGTATTGTTGCCGTGTCCTGACAGCACGGGTTCAGGGGTCTCCGCTGAACTAGCCTCCCACATTCCCTGGGCGGGGCAGCCAGGCCCTGGGTGATAAGGGGGGAAATGTAGCATCTGGGAGGCTGCTCTCTGCAGACAGGCCTGTGCACAGTATGCAGGGGCCTGCCCAGGATGAGCAGAGGGAGCGAGCTGGAGTGGTGCACCAGAGTATTGCCGGGCCTTGACACATCCATACCCTAACGTTCAGCAGTGGTTATTGAGCAGCTACTCAGTGCCATGCCCTTGTCATGAGGTCACAGCAGGGCCTTGCCCTTTGTAGCTCACGTTCTAGAGTGAGAGACAGCTAGGACCCTGTAAACAGTCTGTCAGATGATCCAGGTAGTGAGAAATGCTCAGAAAAGACACAGGACTTTCCTTAGAAAGGGCTGGTGGGAGATGAGCCCTGGACAGAGGCCTCCCCCGGCCCGGAGTTAGAGCTGACAGCTCAACAACCAGAGGGGGCTGGCCACGCGCTGGTCCCTCGGCAGAGCTTTTCCAGGCCAGGGCGGAGGTCAGGAGCAGAAGGAAAGCACAAGGGGCCAGCATGCCAGGAGTGAAGGAGGAGTATTAAGAGCTGAAGTTGAAGAGAAGTGACCAGAAGATGTGAGATCCTGGAGGCATGGCAAGGAGCCATGCCGTGTTTGTTTAGATCCAGTGGGAAGTCACTGGGGAGGGGCGTGCTCTGTTTAGCACTTTTTAAGGCTTGCCCCAGTGGGCAGTCCACTGGGAGGGTGGACTGTAGGGGTGAGAGAAGCAGCAGGGAGACCCGTGAGGAGCCGGCTTGGAATTGACCAGAAGAGATACCCGGTCTGGCAGGCGCACTGGGCAGAGAGGCCAGGGGATTGAGGACGACTCCTTCCTTGGTTTGGGAGGAGCAGCTAGGTGGCCGCAGCAGTGACACCGCTTCCTGAGATGGGGAAGGCTGGGGCGCAGGCCTGGGGGGACCCAAAGAGTTGTGCTGTGACCCTGCCAAGTTTAAAATGCCCGTTGGACAGCTGCTCATCTAGAGACAGCCTTGAAAATAGAGGAGCTGGCTCAGCCACCAAGAGATGCAGACGAGAGAGAGACACAGTGCGCGTGCACAGAACCGGCACAACCCTAGAGGAGCAGCAGTTGCTGAAGAAGGGGAAAGCCAGGAGAGTGTGCTGTCACGGGTGGCAGGAGAAGAGCATTTCCAGAAAACTCCATCATCCCTCACCTTCTGTAGTGCATAGTGTCCCTGGCTTCTGAGGGACACCAGGAGGCCAGGGCGCCCACCTGTCCTTACCACCACCCCCTTTGCTTGCCCTCCTGCACCTCCCCGGCTGTCCTCTTATGAGAGTGCCACCCCTGCCCTCTGGCTGCTACAGGTCCCTGTGCCCCGCAGTCCCTGGAGAGCGCTGCCTGGCAGAGCCTCAGCTGTTGGCCTCTGTCATGGAGACGGCAGCAGCTGCAGCCGACGGGCATTTGTGACCATTTGTCAGAATGCTCCCCTTCCTCCCTGGCCTGCCCTCCTGGAACATTTCTATCCCACAGCCCTGGAGACGGGGCTTATCCGGGGGTGGGAGGCTCAGGAGGGGATGGAAAGTGCTGTCTGTGCTCTACAGAAAGGCCAGGCTTCCTCCTGTGAGCTGGCTGTCACCCCAGCTAGGGTCCAGTCACCGTATACCATGTACCCCCACATGAGCCATCCCTGGTCTCGGCAGCTCTCCTCTGAGTAGCCACCACTGTACAAGCAGGTATTACCCCCAATTAGGAGGTAAAGAAATTGTGGCCCAGAGACACTGGGGTCACCCAGCTGGTCAGGAGCCACCCAGGTGATGACAGAGCCCTTCCCACACCACCCTCCAGCCCCACCCCCCAACAGCCTTGTTTCCACTTCTCTGGTGGGTTCTTGCCCAAGGCTGCCGTTTCTAGCTGGGCCTGGGCTGGAGACGGCCTGCCCACTGTTTGCACTTCGTGGTTTGGCCTCTCCATTACCAAATGCTCTGGGATTTTTCTGGAGCCGGGGGTGGGGAAGAATCTTCTGCTGTCTGGCCCCAAGGCATGGCTGGTATTCAGAGGGAGGCAGGAAACCAGACCCTGATAAATGCAGAGTTTAGTGTGAGTTCAGTGACCTGGGATAGACATGTTTCAGGCATGTTGACTCCAAATGTGATTCACGTTTAGCACACGAGACCTTTAGGCCTCAGACCTTTGTCCCCACAGGCTGGAGTCCTAATCTGTATACTTCCAGAAGCAGAGACCAGGAGGCAGGCGGACAGACTGAACCCCAAATGGGAGGGGGTACCGTGCTGGTACAGTCAGGAGCTCAGTGGCCACACCCCTCCCCTCCAAGCCCCACCTGCCGGCTCCCTGGTTTGCCCTTCTGGATTTTCAGGAGCCTTGGGATCCCTGGACTCCCGACAGGAAGGCCCACTCGTACCCTCAAGGCCAGCCCTCCATGGGCACCATGGCACACCAGGGCAGTCACCAGGCTTCCTCCGAGTCTGTCCTTGAGACTTGCCTGTCACTGTTGACGTCATCTGGCCCAGGGACCCTGGAAAAATCTCCTTTTCTCCATTCTCTGGATTTCCTGTTTTCCTTTTAATAAAATGGAGACTCTTTTGCACGAAGCCCAAGTCTTATTCCCTGCAAGACTATTACTGGAGAAGAGGTGGCAGGAAGGAAAAAAGGCCCTAGCAAGTCCCTAGCTTGGCCCCGTGGTCAAGTCACTTTGTCTCCCTGTACCAGCGTTTCATTATCCAGGCAGCAAAGAGAAAGCTCGGGGTTGTCATAGGGTTCGTTCATCCCACAAGCACCCCCTGAGCCCCTGCTGCCGGCAGGCACCGTGTACTCCAGGTGGGGGTGCAGCTGCGAACAAAACAAACAGGTTCCTGACGCCAACGGGAGGGCAGAGGACACGAATGACCAGTACGTGTGTTCTTTGTCACATGAAGATAATCTCTATCCAAAAAGTAAAGGTGGGAAAGGGTAGGGAGTAGCTTGGCATGCGGGGGGCATCGCTCTGGTATGCAGGAGATCGGAAAGGTAAGTTGGCGCTTCTGTGGTGATATCGGTAGGCAGAGGCCCACTGTTTCTCTCAGAATTCCATTTTGGGGCCTGGGGCAGGGAAGGGAGGTAAATCCAGCCTGTGGGGGCTCTGGAGTTGCTGAGCCAGGGTGAGTGGTGTTGGGAGGCACGGAGCCAGGCCCCAGTGACCCCCACAGGCCTCAGAGCTGAGGTTGCAGGCCAAACCCAGGAGAGAGCAGGTTCCCTCAGGATGCCGCCAGAGGGGATTCCTAGGTTAAGCCCGGAGGTTTCCGTAACCTCTACTCTGCCTATTTTCCAGGCAGCTCTGCCTCCTGCTGAACGCAGAGAACATCTTTCACTCGATGGCGGACATCCTGCTCCGAGAGGAGGACCTCAAGTTCGCCTCGACCATGGTCCACACCCTCAACACCATCCTGCTCACCTCCACAGAGCTCTTCCAGCTGAGAAACCAGCTCAAGGACCTGAAGACCCTGGTACTCCGTGTCCATGGGCTCGGGCCCTGGGTTTAATCCCGTGTGCACTCGGGCACACGGCCGTGCTACCCCACCCCAAGGCCCCAGGAGGCTCACAGAGAGGAGACAGGATGAACTCAGATCTCCGGGTCAGGTGTAAACTACAGATTGCCCTGGGTTAGCTACGTGGAAGTGGCAACCGTGGCAGTAAGTCCCAAGTGGTTTCCTTAGCCACCCACTGTGGAGACCTTTGCCCACGGAAGGCTCTAGACTCTAGGGTCCATGTGCCCTCCGGATCCACCAAAGACAGTGTGTTTTCCACTCATTCATACCCCACCCCACTGTCTGAGGGGGTCACTGCCCCTTCGCAGAATGAGTGGATTGGATTCTGGGACCATGTTACGGGACCCAGCAGTTCATGCCACGCTGTCTGAGTCAGGTTTCTGGATGACAGCGTTGCCAGACATCAGGGGTTATTAGCCTCCATGCCCTCTTCCCTGGCCCTGTCCCCTCTCTCCAACAGTTAGACATGTCTGTCTCACAAGGCATCCTGTCCTAAGTCAAGGTGTCACAGCACTGCCCGGCTCAGGATCCGGATAAGGAACCACCAGGGCTGATCAGAGAGAGCCCGGAGGAGCTCACCATCCTGTCATCCTGCTCTGGGGGACACGGGTCAAGGGTCTCGCTCGGGTCAAGGGTCTCGCTCGGCCCAAGGGCAGGAGGCTGAACTGTCCTGGATGTGCCGGTGGCTCCAGGGCTTTCGTTCCCCGATGTGGGCTGTGGTCTCCACCCCACACCCTCCTTCCCAGTTCAGACGCTGCCTCTGCTCCCTCTCCGGGTGTCTCAAGGACCTCCAAGCCTGCATCGGGGCATCTGGGGCCAGGCAGCTCGGAATGATCCAGGCCACACCTCTGCCTTCTTCCTGTGGTTCTTTCCAGACATTCGCAGAGGACTTAAGAATTTTCCTCAGGGCAGGGGCTCCCTTCGGGGTGTGGGCTCAGCCTCTGGGCCGCTTCCTGAGTGCCAGGTGGGCTGCAGACGAGGGAGGAGATGGCATCTGAAAATGAGACGGGATGCTGCCAGGGAGAGCCCAGGCCCTGAGGAAGCTTCCTCCCTGCCCACACCCAAGCCCTCCCCACAGCCCTCCAAGCCCCACAGGCTCCAGGACCACAGAGTTCTAGGAGGACAATTACCGTTCTTTGCCGAGGGCACAAATGCCAGCACAGAGGACGGGCTCACGCCTGACCAGGCCCTCACAGCCACCACCACGTGGCTCTGTGGGACTGGGAGTAATGACAGGGTCTGAGGAAGAGCTGTCAGCATTTCCTTTGTGACAACTCGTTCCCAGCTGGGCTGCCAAATGCAGCCCTGGGTGCTGAGCTGTCTCCCCGGCGTTGGGCGAGGGCCCCTGGATCTCAGGCCCCGTGAGGACCCCGGGTGGGAAGAGTAGGGGCTCTGCCAGCCGCTCACACCTCTTCCCCCTCAGGAGAGCCAGAACCTGTTCTGCTGCCTGTACCGCTCCTGGTGCCACAACCCAGTCACCACGGTGTCCCTGTGCTTCCTCACCCAGAACTACCGGCACGCCTATGACCTCATCCAGAAGTTGTATCCTTCGTTCTCACTGTCCTTCCCGTCCAGTCACTGAGGGACAGGCGGGGGCCAAGTGCTCCCTTTCTGCCACACTCCTACCCCGTCCCTGTGCTCTGCCTCCAGTCCTTGTGACATGGGGACCTCCAAGGGCGTGGCCAGGGGTGCGCGGGGGAGAGCACTGTTGGCAGCGGATGGGGTCATCTAGGTCTTGTGGAGGGGAGCTGGCCCTGGAGAAACCTTGTAAGCCAGGCATCGAGGCTGAGTGGGCCCAGCCTGGTGCTGATGGAGCCACCTAGGTGAGAGGGCCCCGGGGCGGGGGGCGGTGGGGCTGACCTAAGCGAGGTTTGCGGGCTTGAGCTCTAGCGTCTGCATCACTGCTGGTGAGGAGCTCAGGGACCTGGGCCACAGAGCCACAGCCCAGCTGGGCAGTGACCCAGAGGGGAGAAGCCAGCTGGGGGAGAGGCCTCAGCAAGAGAGAAGACCCCCACCACGCCTCAGGGCCTGTGAAAGGCATCCATGGGCAGACTGGTCACAGTTCTTAAAACAGTGCAGTAAAGCAGCTTACTGGATTGAAGAACTACTTAGGATGCAAAATTGGCCTCCTTTCCTGACGGGCCATGAGTTGGGGGTAAGGAGAGAGGGTCCCTAAGGTGCCTCCATTAAGGGTCGGTGGGGCCTGGCCTCACTCCCTCAGGGTGCCTGCTCTCCTTCCACACCCTAGATTTGCTTTTCTCGGCCACTGGCGTGGCCCAGAAACCACAGGCCACACACTTGCCACAGCCCTGACCTTGGCCCTGCTGACAAGCGTCCACTCAGGCAGGAACCAAGACCTTTCCCGCTCAGCCTCCCCCTCCCCCCAACACAGGCTGCAGGGCTGAGATAAGAGCCTTTCAGAGCTGGGAGGGCGCAGAGGAGAGAGCCACAGAGCAGAGCCGGAGTGCCCCTGCAGGGGGGGGACAGCTGTGCCATTTCTCATTTATAGGGACAGAGAGACTGATGTCCTCCGTGTACCTTCGGGCTTAGGCAGAAACAGGCTCTACCTACAAAGCCAGGGCCCCAGTGGGAAGCGCATGTGTTCCCAGCTCTCCGGTTGCCCCACCCGGCAGAGGCCCCCTCGTAGAGATGGGCCACCCCAGCCAGTCTTTCCTTGACCCGCCCACCCAGCGGGGACCTGGAAGTCACGGTGGATTTCCTCACGGAGGTGGATAAACTGGTGCAGCTGATCGAGTGCCCCATCTTCACATGTAAGAGCCTGGCCTCTGGAGCGCGACAGGGGTGGAGCCGACTCCGCTGTGCTTCCTCTGGGGAGGGAGGCAGGGAGGGCACACACCCCAGGGTGTTTCTTAGAACGTCAGGAACGGAAGACCGGGGATGACAATCAGGGCTGGGGAGTCCAGTCCAATAGGACTGAGACATGGTGTCAGGACAAGCGCCTCAAGGTGACCAGCGCATGGCCGAACCCACCTGAAGGTCCATAACGTCCCTACGTGGGGGTGGTTCGGCCGACCAGAGTAGTGCTGCCAGGCCGCTGCTGAGGGAGCTGGCCCAGAGCTGTTTGCAGCCACCCCTCCCCACACCACGCCCTCCTCTCTCTACAAAGCAGAGTATTTGCCGGAGCGGCTGGGCAGGAGCTCCCTGATTGTAACATCCAGGCTGAATGTGCAAAAGTGGCAGCTGGTTGGGGAGAGCACGGCTCCTGGTGCCTCGGCGCACACACGGTGCTTGCCCCCCAGAGTAGGCGACTCTCAGGATAAAAGTTGCATGCTTACTTAGGTCAGGCAGGCGAGCAGGGAGGTGGCCCTGCCGGTGGCCTCCTTCCTGCTGAGCCAGTTGGCTGAGCCCTTGCCCTCTGGCAGCACCTGTGACCTGCCCGAGCTCCTCCACTCAGCCAGTCCCCATGGTGGTGGATGCCCAGGAGACACGAGAGCAGGAGGGAGACCCTGTTCCCAGCAGAGTTTAGCAAAGCCTGTCCCAAGTGGTTCCCTGGCCCAACATCTCACTTCCCCAAGGGCCTCCTGGGGCAGCCAGGCACACTCTCACCTGAGGCCAGGTCCAGCCTGACCCCAGAGAGACGACAGGCACCTTCTCGCCAGGCCCAGGGCTTTGTTGGAGCGACCACGGCAGCTTCACCCTGGTCCTGCCCAGCACCCATCCCAACCCTGCTTTGCCTGGCTCCCCCAGGGGTGACTGCCTTGACCCCACAGGCCCAGGGATGTCTACTCACGTCTCCATTGGTGGCTCCTGCTCCCTGGGGTAGGGAGAGGGTTGGGCAGGGCCTCACTGCTCTGGCTCCAACATCAGCCCAGGCCCCCTGCACGGCTGCTGCCGGGGTAACATGGCCTCTCCTGAAGTTTGTGGCTCGTTCTCCACAAAGGATGCCTGGGACTGGGCCTTAGAGACACAAGAAAGCAGGAGCCAGTGATTCTCCCGGAGGGGCTCAGAGGAGGGAAGCGTGGGCCCGTTTAAATGGGATGGGTGCTGGGCAGGACCAGGGGCACCTCTCCTATCTGGTGGGGTACTGGCATGGCTGGTGTCTGAGGAGGCTTCCCAAAAGCACCTACCAAGACACTCCGGAGTTTGGTGTGTGTTCAGCGCCACACACGAGCGTTTTTCTACCCTGCCCTCCCTTAAAGCTGTCCTAATCCGGTCTTTCTCTCCCGCTCACCCTATTTATAGCTCTCTTGTGCTGGCACGTGCAGAGCAGACAGGGAATCTGTTACACTACAGGCCCCAGGCCCCCTCATCACCAGGCTGCAGTCAGTGTAGCGGCTCAGGGACGAGGACCGGCAGCTTGGGGGTCACCAGGCTGAGGCGACTCTCGGGACAGACGGCCATGCGGGTGGGCAGGAAGAAAGAGCGGCGAGATCCGGGGGACGGCTGAGGTGCTGCTGGAGGAGGGAGCAGGCATGTCTGGCTGTAGAGGAGCCCCTGCCCCTCTCTGAGCCACAGCTCCCTGGCTGGCCCTCTCCCGGGCAGGCCGAGGTGTGGCCCAGGGCAGTGCCTGACCCCTGACCTCTACCCTCTGCCCTGCCTCAGATCTGCGCCTGCAGCTGCTGGACGTGAAGAACAACCCGTACCTGATCAAGGCCCTCTATGGCCTGCTCATGCTGCTGCCGCAGAGCAGTGCCTTCCAGCTGCTCTCCCACCGGCTACAGTGCGTGCCCAACCCCGAGCTGCTGCAGACTGAGTGAGTGCCGGGCTGGGGGACCGCTGCCCTCCGCCTCCACGGGAGGCAGAGGCCTCCGCCACTGGGAGAGGCCAGACCAGAGGGACTCGGCACGAGAGGGGTCTCCCTTGCCTTGGCATCACGTTCCTCTGGCACTGCGGAGACTGGCCATCCCGTGGCCACTTACACTTAGGCCTCTTAAAGCACCAGGCTGGGGGCTTCTGCGAGTGTTTGCGAGGTGGTAGAGAGTAGCAGGATCTTCTCCCAGCCATCAGGGTTGAGTTAATCTAAAAAATGAAAGGGCCTACCGGAATCACCCAGACGGAGGCCCCTGGAGGGAGACTGCAGGAGGAGGAGTTCATGTCCTGGGTCAGAGACGGTGTCCAGTCCTGCAGCAGTAGGCGTGAGAGCTGGGCCTCGGGCGGTCCTCCCCACCACCGCCCCCATCTACGGCAGAGGCTCCAACCTGGGCCACAGAGAGACCCCAGCCTCACTGGGACACGGAGGCACCGTGGCTACGCTGCTTGACCCTGCCCGTGGGAAGAACAGGACCTGGGCACACCTCCACCACGAGGCCAGCAAGGCGGACTCCGGGCAGGAGGGCTGCAGCCCTGCGGGGTGGGGGGCGTCCAGCCAGGCTCCTACCCCGAACCCGCTGCTGGCCCTGCCCCCAGAGCCTGTTGGGCCGTGTCTATATTTGGTAACCCTTGGAGGCTTTGCCTCATCCACAGGCATTTGGCATTCGAGATGGAAAATTTCACTTGTCAGGTCGCCATGGAAACAAGCAGAGCCACTGAGAAGATTTACGCTGAATGGAGCGCACCCAGCTTGCATCAGATGCCCTGTGTGTCTAGAATTCCCTCCCAGGCTGTTAGAACCACTTGGCAGGCCTGGCACCTCGCTCTTGCGAAGGGCCTCGGCCTTGGGCCCTTGGGACTGATGCAGGCAGCCTTGAAATGGCCTGTCTCACACGCAGGGCCTCTGACCCCAGCCCCTGTGCCTCCATAGCACTGGGTTTAGACTCCCACCACCCCTCCCACCCTGCTTGGCCTCTCCAGAGGCTGGGTGTGGGCCACCTGACAGGCTGGCCGCCCTAGGCTGGCTGGAGGGGCTTGAGCCCCGAGCAGGTATGGCCCCCAAGCCAAGGCCCAGCTCTTGGCCTGTTCCACCCCTTTTTCCAGACAGCAGTGCTCTGGGATGATGGCTAGGCACTGTCCCAGCTGCTTTTAGTGACACCCAAGTAATCCCCAGGGGAGCAGGGAGGTGGGTTTTGCACTTGGAATCCCTTGGCCAGAATACTTCTAGCTCCTGGGACACAGAGGTCCTGAAGCCACACCATGCTTCACTGGCCTGGCCCCTGCACCAGCATTTCCGATGTCCAGTGGGTGTTAGGGTTACTCTGGCAGGCACTCAGGATTCCTCCTTTCTTGGTGCAGGGGTAGGGGAGAAGGAGACAGGAACAGCTGCTTCCCTGTGACCTTTGGTTCTTGTCTCCACCCCCACCCTCAGCCAGGCTGCCTTCCTGAAGGAGGTCCCTGGGCCAGGCACAGACCCTGTGAGGCTAAGGGCCATTCTCCTGCACGTGACATCTCCTTGTCTAGGGTGGGGAAGTAAAGCTCAGGGTGGTAGGAGCTCTCCCTGCATGCTCCAGGCCAGGATACAAGTTTGCAGAGGGAAGCTGGGGAAAATGGCTTCTCTCAGAGCCCCCCATGGCCAGAGTCAGAGAAGTCCTGGGCCAAGGGGTTGAGGCCTCTTAGGTAGGAGATTCTGCAGGCCAGTGGACAGTTCAGAGGCCTGGACTAGGATCTGGTCCCAGCTCTGCTGAGGGTTTGCCCTGTGAACTTAGACAAGCCCCTCTCCTGGCTCTGGGTTTCTTCATTCGTAAATGAGCATTTGGACCAAATGGATGCTTGAGGCTCTGCCCAGCCCTCAAGGCCCTGGGTTCCCAGCGGTTCTTTGCAAGAACCTAGGAAGAGCTGTGTCACAGATATAGGCAGGGAGACGTCGGGCAGGGAAGGGGCCTCCAGAACAGCTGGGGGAGGGGTCAGATTGCAACGCTGGGCACAGAGGGACGGCTCACACCCTGGAGAGGAGGAAGAGGACAGTCACAGCCCTGGGAGGGGCAGGCAGCTGGAAGACAGCTTTGGGTTGCCTGACAGGCCTGCAAGCCGGAAGCAGCTGGGTCGGTTGTGGGAGGGGGTTCTGCACCCCTTGCCCATCCCTCATTCCATGTGCTCAAGGCACCAGCAGGCCTCGGAGACTCTGGCCCCCTCGGGTTTCCAGGCCACTCCCCAGAGATTATCTCAGTGAGGCAGGAGGGGACCTCTGAAGAAAATCTGAGGCCACTTGCCAGTATTAGCCTGGTGACAGGTGCATGGGTGGGGTGGCAGGAGACAGGGCTGGCTTTGGGTTCTGGAATCTCATCTTCACTGCTGGCGGGGTGTCCCCAGTCACTGATTGCCCGAGGAGCATTGTAAACAGACCTCGAAGGGCCTGAGCAGCAGCCATGCCCACTGTGACAGGCAGGGAGAGGAGCCCTGGCCTACCCCCGTGGGACATGCTCCTCCCCACTTGCAAGATCTCAGGCCAGGAGGGATCCAGGAAGAGAGGCTGAGTCACGGAGGGCAGCGCTTGCCACCATGATCATCCAGAGAGTGCAGGGTATGGCCCACTCCTCCCCATCCCCGCGCCTCCCTGGCCACATCTGTGCACATCACCCAGGTTTGCTGCCCACTGCCGGCATCTCCATGGAAACCCCTAATCTCAGTCCTGCCTCTGGACCAGACGCCTGTGCTTGTCACTAGTGTTGAGGGGAATGGCACACAGACACGCGAACGCCCAGCATCCAACGGCATACTCCAGTGTCCGCTCTGGCCTCACGTGTCCGGGCCTGCAGATCTCTCCCGCATCTCACCTACTCGCCTGGGGCAGCACCTGGTCACTGCCTGGGGCTAGAGCTGTAAGCTGCAGGGTGTCCCTCGGCCTCCCCAGAAGCCCAGGCGGTGACACCTGATAGTGCCCTGTTCCCAGGGAAGTTGCATACGGCAGCCAGAGTCCAGAATGCTGCCCCTAGAGTGGGCCCCACCTCGCTTCTCTTGATGTTTGTTGAATTAATGTTGCCTGAGGCCCAGGAAAGCAGCAGCCAAGGCACCATCCAAGGTGTCTTCAGATGGCACATCTTCAACAGGAAGGGAACAACACTGAGTAGGGGTGCAGGGGGCCACCTCTAAGCTTCCAGATGGCATCCTGACCATGGGGAGGGCCCCCACTGCCCTTGGTCCTGCCCCAGCAGCCAGGTGAATGGTCAGAGATGTCTGTCAGGGGCCAAGTTCATTGGTAAGGGTTTCCTTTAGGTGAAGCGCCATCGTGTTTCCCCCAAAATGTACTGAGCCACTGATGCACCCCAGGCCTCAAGCTGCTCAACCCTCGCCAGCCTCACCTCAGGGGGGCATAGTGGTCATAACCACAGTGGCTGCCCATGAGGTACCTAGGCTGGGGCTAGGCACCAGGCTAAGCTCTTATATGTTGAATATGAACCACCCTCACCCCCTCACCGTGGAGTGGCCCCTGTGGCAGTCCCCTTCTATGGATGAGCAAACTGAGTCACGTGCCCAAGGCCAAATAGCTACGAAGTGGTCGTATCCAGGCTTCTCTAGCTCCTGTGCCCAGCTGCTTCTTGGAGCCTGTGAACTCACAGGGCCCTGGGATTCCCGTGAACGGCCCACAGCCTTCATGAGACCCCCTTACCAGGGCCACTAGGTCTCAGGGGCTAGAAGCAAATACTTCCCCAGCCCACACACATCTGTTTCCCAAGCCAGTGAGGCTAAAATGAAAGAGGAACAGACTCTTTCATGAGACTTTGCCGAAGGGATGGTTATAATGGGAAGGGACCCAAGGGGACCTGGTCCCCAGGAACAAGCTGAACAGGACTACTACGCCGCACAACTCTAGGGAGCATCAGGTACACTGTGGCTGTGCGCTGCACAACTTGTGCAGCTGTACAGAGCAACCGGGGAGGGTGGTCGCAGCAGGAGTTGTAGGAGCCGTCAGCACGCCCAGTGGTGAGACCAGCTCTCCTTCTCCAGGGACAGGGAATGACTGCAGGCCTCTGGACCCCAACACTGAATAAGAGATGTCCTGCCAAGCTGAAGGCCCAGTAGAGACTCTTCAGCAGTAGACAATCCCTGTTGTCTGCAGGCCTAGTCCTGCCCCCAGAGAAAGGGCCAGGCTGCCTCCTCCCCCTCCTCCCTGGACCCTGTTCCAGGCCCCAGCTGGCTTCCTGGCTGGCTGCTAGCCCTGGCTTTCACCCCAAAGGGAGCCAGTCGTAAACAGGAAATGCTTCCCGATGCGATGCCTGCTCTGGGCCCCGTCGTCAGCCCACAGACTGAAGGCCATATCCAAGCAGCAGTGTTGACTGGTCCCAGCAGCTGAGGGGGAGGGGATGCTCATGAGGCTCCCCTACTTTGGGGCTGTTGGGCAAGGGTTACTGGGCCTGAGGCAGACAGACTCGCCAAGGTTGAGCTCCATCAGCCTGTGACCCTGCCCTGACCCTCGCCCTCCTATGCCCAGCGCTGCCTGCCCCCAGCTCCCTGCCATGTATGCTGAGACTGATACTGAGCCCTTCTCCTTCTTCCCAGAGACAGTCCGCAGGCAGCTCCCAAGTCGCAGAAAGCGGATTCCCCCAGCATTGACTATGCAGAGTTGCTGCAGCACTTTGAGAAGGTCCAGAAGAAACACCTGGAAGTGAGGCACCAGCGGAGCGGGCGTGGGGACCACCTGGACCGGAGGGTTGTCCTCTGATGCCTGACTGGAGAAGGGCCCAAGGAGTGGCCCCACGGAGCATTTGGGGTCTTCGGGCTCCCTGAGGAGCTCGGAGACCTGCCTCAAGGGCAGGGCTGGGCCTGGCCACCAGCGCGGGGTTGGGGGGACAGAGGCTGTCCATCCAAGCTCCTCTCATAGCCCAGCCCCCTGGGCCCCCAGTGCTGTCAGCTGCACCCTGGCATTCAGACAGAGCTGGCTTCCCACCCGGGTGGGGCCAAAGCCTCAGACACCACCCATTCTCTGGAACTGGTCTCTTTCTAATATCCTCTTGTAAAAGAGCTTGACCTCTCCAGCCCACCAGAGCCCTGGCCTTGAGTGATGTGTGTACTTAGGAGTATGCATACCTGTCTGCAACTAGAGGCCAGCACAGAAGTCCATATGAATGACACACCCCCTGCCCCAATAAAGAAGTGACAGAAAACCTTCAACCTGCACCAGCTTGCTCCTTCCCACGGGCACCTGCTCCCTGCCTGATACTGCAGATGCTCCAGGACCTTCTTGCCTGCCCTGGAGTGCTGGACTCATGGTGGCCCCAGGGAATGCTGGCTGCACCTGGGAAGGCTGGTCACACCTGGGAAGGCTGGTCACTGCACAGTCCCTGATGGGTGTGTCCTTGGGTCCCAGCTCTCACCTCTAGGATGCACCCCTTCCTGGAGACCACCAAGCACTGGCCTGGCCTGGAACCCTGAATCCTACCTTCCCAGGCACCTACTCTGACTTCCATCCAGATTCCCCCATAGTGATGCCCCATGTCCAC